CTCCGCCTCCCTCCTCCTCCTCCTCCCCCTCCTCCTCCTCCGCCTCCCTGATCCTCCCCAGTACGGCGGGTGCCGCCGACCCTAGAAGTGGGACCTCCCCGGGGGGACCCCGCGGGCGTCTCCCCCCGTGGCCCGCCGGGGCCCAGGAAACGGCGTTCTGACACGGGAGGACGCCCCCCACCACACAATTGGGGCGTCGACAGGAGGAGCAGCAAACAAGTAGCGGGGCCCCTGTTCTTCAGAAGTGGCGCTTCGATGTCTCATCGAAGACCGAACACCTAAGGCAAGCTGCAAAAGAACTTAGGAACACGGAGCCCCATCCCAAACGAAAAGGGTTCCTTCTTCAGCGCCCCGGCTGTAGGCGGGACCTCCCCCGCTGGCGACCCCCCCAGAAGGTTGGTCCCCTTGTCCCCCTGTCCACGGGGGGGGGGCACCCCCCGAGCCGCCGGGATCCCCTGGGGGGGGCGCGGTAATCTGACCTCCTTCGGACCCCCCTCGGAGGAGGAGGAGCGGAAGGAGGAGGAGGAGGAGGAGGAGGAGGCTATCCCACCCCCCGCACCGCCCCCGCTACCCCTCCCCCGTACCCCTCCCCCGTTCCTGGAGGGGACATGAGGGGAGGGGATCGACTGAACAACTACAGACTTCTTTTCTCTGGTCGTTCCTTTTTCTCTTCGGACTGGCGACGACGACGACGACGACGACGACGACGACGACGACGACGACGACGACGACGACGACATTTTCGCTCTCACGCCGAAGCGTCGGCGGATTCTTTCGTTCTCTCGAGGTGAGCGACGGAAGAAAACTGCGCCGACATTCGCGCAGAAGTTGCCCGCGCAAGGTCGCACGTAAGCGCCCTCGTTTCACATGTAGCGTGCTGTGCTGGCGGCCTACGTGAGCCATCCATCACGTAAGGTCGTTACGTCATGTCATCTCTCGTAAGACCTGTTGCTGATCGTCGCCCAGGTGGGAGTCTCGAAGTGATGGCTAGCAATGTCTTGGTGTGGAGGGCCCTGGCAGGAGGTGACCCTCGTCAGCGGCATGCTCCTGGGTGCGCTGGCGGGGCGCGCCGGGGTGCGCCGGAAGCACGGCTGGCGCCTGATCTGGGGCTGCTCGGTGCCTCTCGGCATGGGGGGGGGACCAAGATCGGAGAGCCCCAGACGGTGTGGTGGCCGCATCGCGTGGTGAGTCAGTTGGGGATTCGGGGTCACCGCACGTTGAAGACCGCTGAGGGTATGAGTTGGCCCAAAACACTAGTTCCAGCGACCAGGAAGGGATGGCGAGGTTCGAGGCGCTGGGTCTGGAAAGTGTTTGCCCTCGTCGGTCTCTGGGGGCCGCTGTCGAGCCCGGGAACCTCAGAAAACGTATCGGGAGTAGAAGGTTACACCAGGTGGACCCCGGGAGGGGTCCGGGTGCCGAATTCGAGCGAATTTGGCTTCGTCTCCCCTCCTGGCAGATCTGCTGCGGCCCCAGCCCGTTCAGACCTCCTGGCCGACTCCAGGCCGCACGGCCCTGGGACTCGGATCGCTCTCCGAGGACGTCTCGGGCGACCAGGGCCTCCGAGGCCCCAAGGCCACGCGGTGGCGGACTGCGCGGTGAGGTCGCTGGGGATTCCGAGGTCACCACGCGGTCCGTGGCCACACGGTCTTGGGGCCCCGGAAAGAAGGCACCGACAGCGCGGCTCCCCAGAGCTCTTCCGGCGTGCGTGCTGACCAGAATCTCGACGCGGATCCGGCCATGGCGACGAGGGCTTCCCGGGAGGCCCGAGAGGGCGACAGCGGGGGGAGGACCGAGGTACAAGATCGAGGTCGGTCCAGGGAGGGTGCCTTGATGTTCTTCGTGCTTGTCGGATGCTCTCGTGCCTCCTGGGGAGGGCACCCCTGGAAGCTCTGCGTGCTTGGGCTGACGGAGGGCCTCTCGTGTTCTTGAAGGATGCTCTTCTGGCCTGGGTCCTCCGAGGCCTCGCAGCCATCGACAAGAAGCTCGTCGGCATCGGCGTCGTCGTCGTCGTCGTCTGTCGTTCTTGTCGTCGTCGTCTTCGTCGTCGTCCTCGTCGTCGTCGTCGTCCTTGTCGGCGTCGTCGCCGTCCGTCGTCGTCGCCCTCGTCGTCTTGCTCCTCCGAGGCATCGCGGCCATCGCGGCCATCCTGCGGCTGCCGGACACGCCGCGGTCCATCTTCCGCCGCGCGCAGGCGCTGGCCCTGGGCGGCCGCCCGCGCAGCAGCCTGGTGCCCCGCGAGGAGGTGGCGGCGGACGACCGGCGGCGGCTCGAGGCGCTGCTGGGCGCCGCCCGCGTGGAGGCCGAGCAGGCGGTCCGGGGAGGAAGAGGTACCTAACCCCTTCCCCTTCCCCCCCCCTTCCCCTTCCCCCCCTCCCCCTCCTCCTCCTCCTCCCCCTCCTCCTCCTCCTCCTCCTCCTCCTCCTCCTCCTCCTCCTCCTCCCCCTCCTCCTGGGAGGAAGAGGTACCCCAGATTTCGTAATCAAAGGGAGGGGGTCTCACTTCGGGGGGGGGTCTCTTGCAGGCTATCCTGGAGGGCCTGGGGGGGGTCTGGGGGCGGTGTTTTGGAGGGTTCTCCCACGGGGGGGGGGTCTGAAATGGCCTGTCTTGGAGGGTCCAGACCCCCTCCCTTTTATTACGAGATCTGCAGTACCCCGTGCCTCTGCCCCAGGGGCTGGACCTAAAGGGTGTGTCTGGTGATTTCGTGGGCCGTCTTCGTCTCGGCTTCGTTTTGCGGTCCAGGCGGATTCGAGACAAGAGCGAGGGGAAACGAAGGCAATACGAAACCGAAAAACACCGTTTCGGTTCACCCCTGCTCTACCCTGGGTCTCTTGATAAGCGTGGGGGGCACCCCCCGACGGGGGTCAACCTCGCCTCGTCGTCGCGCCGCGACGGGGGTCGGAGCGCCTTCGGCGCGCGGCGGCTGCCCGCAACGGGATCGATGTGGGGCTGTCGGCGGGGGTGGCGCCCCCCCCCCACGCGTATTAAGAAACTCGGAGTGACCTTCGCCCGTTCTCCCCCACTTTTGGGCCGCCTCGGAGGCCCCCGTCGCCACCGCTGGATTCGCCTCGAACCTCCTTGGTCAGAAGGCACCCCGGGAGAGGCCCGGGGAGCAGCGGTCTCGGCACATTTTGGCATACCCCCACAGGCGGCGTGCCGCTTCCGGGGCCTGGAGGCAGTGGACCGGGCGCTGGCAGAGGCCGCCACCCGCTTTGTCGGGCGGGTGGCAATGGGGGGTGTCCTATATACAGTGCCGTTTTTAATACATGCTCCGCGTGCGGATCATGTATTAAAAATGCAGGGATTTAGTACTAAAAACAACGATGAGCTCATGCATCATTTTATCCATACACTAATCATGCATTAAAAATCATAGTTTGTTTATTTTGTTGTCGTTTTTAAAATTTAAAGTACCCTTTGGGGCCCCTTTCGGAGCCAGCAGGGGCCCGGGCCTTGTTCTCCAACCCCGAGGCACCCCCCACTACAACCCGCTGGACTCTGGCGGCGCGCGGAGGGGGGCAGGGGGAGGGGGAAGGCTGCTTCGCAGGGGGCCGCTTCTCTTAGAAGCCGCGGGCCTTCTAAGAAGCGGCCTCCTTCTGAGAAGCCTTCCCCCCTCCTCCTACCCGCCTATGCGCGCCGCCAAGCTGTAGACTCGATTACAGTTGATACCCATGCTAGGGAATACCCTGCTTGCCTCCAGGGTGCCCTGGGTTTCTTGGGTTTTGATTGTTCTGATATGGAAAGCGTGCCGTTCCCATGCCAAAAATCAGTGGACGTCTTGGGGTCCCAGGGCTGGGTTTCTTGTGGCAGGTTTCTTGTGGTCTAGCACCTGCTCTACTTTTCACGTCGCAGCGCGGCAGAGGCAGTCCGCACGCGCGCTCGGGCAAGCCGGGAAACCGCATCGCTGGTTGTCCGGCAGCAAGCGGGAGGAATGGACTTGGATCACACGTAAGTCAGAGGAGGAAAAGGTACCCATGCCGCAATCATTATTTCGTTTTCCCCCTTTGGGCATCCTCGGAGGCCCTCGTCGCCACCGCTGGATTCGCTTCGAAATTCTAGTCAGAACGCACCCCAGGCGAGGTCAGGGGAGTAGCGGTATCGGTATCTTTTGGTCTCCCCAGTAAGGGTGACCTTTCGCCAGAGTGACCTTGTGGTTCAGGCCCAATGGGACCCCCCATCGCTGAATGCGATGCGGCAGCAGTGACTTGCGCGCACGGCGGTGTCCCCAAAGGGCCTCCCCCTTAGGCCGCGCACCAAAGGTCACTCTGCCTAGGGTCACTCTTGCGTTTAGCCGATGGACTTCTAAAGCACTGGAGCATCCCATGCGGAGGTCTGTTGTCGTTTGCGGCGTCTGCGGGCCCTCGCCAGGCCCCGGTGCTTTGAAGGAGCAGCGTAGGATGCGGAGCTGGCTCTGGCGAAGGTGTCGGGTTTTTTTCTGGCGTCGCGATTCTTTCACATGGGGCGTTCTCGCCCAGAGTTGTTGCAAATTTCGGCCTCAGGGCCCGTTCGCACCCTCCAGACCGTCAAGAAACATTTCAGGATGAAATATCTGTCTTGGGGAAGGAGCATACTTCCGGGGGTCCACGTTGTGAAAAAAATCACGCCGCCATGTTTCAGCTATTTTGGGGGACCTTGGCAGCGCACCCAGCGCTTTCGCGCGGCTTCGGGCCCTGGGGCCCCCGCAGATCCCCCTCGAGGAGAGTCGCAGAAGCCTGGCCTCCACTGCCCTCCCGTCCCTCCCGAACTCTGTTCGCGCCGTCGGCTCACAGGGCGCGCCCTGCGGGGAGCGGGCCGTGCGGGCGCTGCTCCGCCGCCGTCGTGCTCGCGGCCTCTCCGCCCGGGCCGGGGGGGCCGTCAACAACGACTCGGGTGGAACACTGGTCCTGGGGGAGAAAGCCCCAGGGTCCAGGACACCGTTTCCCTGAAAATATATATATATATATATATATATTTAATTATAATACTATTAATAATAATAATAAATACTAATCCTAAAATAATAATAATTGATTAAAACCTGCCCTGTAGAGGGTGAAGAAAAGAGCCCCAAAAGTACCCTTTGGGGCCCCTTTCGGAGCCAGCAGGGGCCCGGGCCTTGTTCTCCAACCCCAAGGCACCCCCCACTACAACCCGCTGGACTCTGGCGGCGCGCGGAGGGGGGCAGGGGGAGGGGGAAGGCTGCTTCGCAGGGGGCCGCTTCTCTTAGAAGCCGCGGGCCTTCTAAGAAGCGGCCTCCTTCTGAGAAGCCTTCCCCCCTCCTCCTACCCGCCTATGCGCGCCGCCAAGCTGTAGACTCGATTACAGTTGATACCCATGCTAGGGAATACCCTGCTTGCCTCCAGGGTGCCCTGGGTTTCTTGGGTTTTGATTGTTCTGATATGGAAAGCGTGCCGTTCCCATGCCAAAAATCAGTGGACGTCTTGGGGTCCCAGGGCTGGGTTTCTTGTGGCAGGTTTCTTGTGGTCTAGCACCTGCTCTACTTTTCACGTCGCAGCGCGGCAGAGGCAGTCCGCACGCGCGCTCGGGCAAGCCGGGAAACCGCATCGCTGGTTGTCCGGCAGCAAGCGGGAGGAATGGACTTGGATCACACGTAAGTCAGAGGAGGAAAAGGTACCCATGCCGCAATCATTATTTCGTTTTCCCCCTTTGGGCATCCTCGGAGGCCCTCGTCGCCACCGCTGGATTCGCTTCGAAATTCTAGTCAGAACGCACCCCAGGCGAGGTCAGGGGAGTAGCGGTATCGGTATCTTTTGGTCTCCCCAGTAAGGGTGACCTTTCGCCAGAGTGACCTTGTGGTTCAGGCCCAATGGGACCCCCCATCGCTGAATGCGATGCGGCAGCAGTGACTTGCGCGCACGGCGGTGTCCCCAAAGGGCCTCCCCCTTAGGCCGCGCACCAAAGGTCACTCTGCCTAGGGTCACTCTTGCGTTTAGCCGATGGACTTCTAAAGCACTGGAGCATCCCATGCGGAGGTCTGTTGTCGTTTGCGGCGTCTGCGGGCCCTCGCCAGGCCCCGGTGCTTTGAAGGAGCAGCGTAGGATGCGGAGCTGGCTCTGGCGAAGGTGTCGGGTTTTTTTCTGGCGTCGCGATTCTTTCACATGGGGCGTTCTCGCCCAGAGTTGTTGCAAATTTCGGCCTCAGGGCCCGTTCGCACCCTCCAGACCGTCAAGAAACATTTCAGGATGAAATATCTGTCTTGGGGAAGGAGCATACTTCCGGGGGTCCACGTTGTGAAAAAAATCACGCCGCCATGTTTCAGCTATTTTGGGGGACCTTGGCAGCGCACCCAGCGCTTTCGCGCGGCTTCGGGCCCTGGGGCCCCCGCAGATCCCCCTCGAGGAGAGTCGCAGAAGCCTGGCCTCCACTGCCCTCCCGTCCCTCCCGAACTCTGTTCGCGCCGTCGGCTCACAGGGCGCGCCCTGCGGGGAGCGGGCCGTGCGGGCGCTGCTCCGCCGCCGTCGTGCTCGCGGCCTCTCCGCCCGGGCCCCCGGGGCCGTCAAGCGGAGGCTCGGGGTGGAACACTGGTCCCTGGGAGAAAGCCCCAGGGTCCAGGACCCGGTTCCCTGAATATATATATATATATATATATATATATATATTATAATAATAATAATAATAATAATAAATAATAATAATAATAATAATAATAATAATAATAATAATAAATGTATTAAAACCTGCCCTGTAGAGGGTGAAGAAAAGAGCCCCAAAAGTACCCTTTGGGGCCCCTTTCGGAGCCAGCAGGGGCCCGGGCCTTGTTCTCCAACCCCAAGGCACCCCCCACTACAACCCGCTGGACTCTGGCGGCGCGCGGAGGGGGGCAGGGGGAGGGGGAAGGCTGCTTCGCAGGGGGCCGCTTCTCTTAGAAGCCGCGGGCCTTCTAAGAAGCGGCCTCCTTCTGAGAAGCCTTCCCCCCTCCTCCTACCCGCCTATGCGCGCCGCCAAGCTGTAGACTCGATTACAGTTGATACCCATGCTAGGGAATACCCTGCTTGCCTCCAGGGTGCCCTGGGTTTCTTGGGTTTTGATTGTTCTGATATGGAAAGCGTGCCGTTCCCATGCCAAAAATCAGTGGACGTCTTGGGGTCCCAGGGCTGGGTTTCTTGTGGCAGGTTTCTTGTGGTCTAGCACCTGCTCTACTTTTCACGTCGCAGCGCGGCAGAGGCAGTCCGCACGCGCGCTCGGGCAAGCCGGGAAACCGCATCGCTGGTTGTCCGGCAGCAAGCGGGAGGAATGGACTTGGATCACACGTAAGTCAGAGGAGGAAAAGGTACCCATGCCGCAATCATTATTTCGTTTTCCCCCTTTGGGGCATCCTCGGAGGCCCTCGTCGCCACCGCTGGATTCGCTTCGAAATTCTAGTCAGAACGCACCCCAGGCGAGGTCAGGGGAGTAGCGGTATCGGTATCTTTTGGTCTCCCCAGTAAGGGTGACCTTTCGCCAGAGTGACCTTGTGGTTCAGGTCCAATGGGACCCCCCATCGCTGAATGCGATGCGGCAGCAGTGACTTGCGCGCACGGCAGTGTCCCCAAAGGGCCTCCCCCTTAGGCCGCGCACCAAAGGTCACTCCTGCCTAGGGTCACTCTTGCGTTTAGCCGATAGACTTCTAAAGCACTGGAGCATCCCATGCGGAGGTCTGTTGTCGTTTGCGGCGTCTGCGGGCCCTCGCCAGGCCCCGGTGCTTTGAAGGAGCAGCGTAGGATGCGGAGCTGGCTCTGGCGAAGGTGTCGGGTTTTTTCTGGCGTCGCGATTTTTTCACATGGGGCGTTCTCGCCCAGAGTTGTTGCAAATTTCGGCCTCAGGGCCCGTTCGCACCCTCCAGACCGTCAAGAAACACTTCAGGATGAAATATCTGTCTTGGGGAAGGAGTATACTTCCGGGGGTCCACGTTGTGAAAAAATCACGCCGCCATGTTTCAGCTATTTGGGGGGACCTTGGCAGCGCACCCAGCGCTTTCGCGCGGCTTCGGGCCCTGGGGCCCCCGCAGATCCCCCTCGAGGAGAGTCGCAGAAGCCTGGCCTCCACTGCCCTCCCGTCGCCACGCTGCACGATGCCAGAACTCTGTTCGCGCCGTCGGCTCACAGGGCGCGCCCTGCGGGGAGCGGGCCGTGCGGGCGCTGCTCCGCCGCCGTCGTGCTCGCGGCCTCTCCGCCCGGGCCCCGGGGCCGTCAAGCGGAGGCTCGGGGTGGAACACTGGTCCCTGGGAGAAAGCCCCAGGGTCCAGGACGGTTCCCTATAATATATATATATATATAATATATATATATATATATATATATATATAAAAAAAAAAAAAAAAAAAAAAAAAAAAAAAAAAAAAAAAAAAAAAAAAAAAAAAAAAAAAAAAAAAAAAAAAAACTTGCTCAACACGGGGTCCTTCCAAGCCCAGACCCTCTCCCCGGGGCCGGCTGCCCATCCCGAGCTGTTGCTGTGGACGGTCCCGGGGCCAGGCGACGGCCCCCAGAGGCCAAAGACGACAAACAGTTGCCGCACACATTTTCCAACACGTTCGACGTGTGGGTCACCCTCCCCCCTCGAAGAGATTGAGGAGGAGGAGGGGGAAGAGGACGAGGAGGAGTGGAGGATTGAGGAAGGAAAGGAGATGGAGGACGGGGGAATGTGCGGAGAATGAGGAGAGAGGGAGGGAGGGAGGGAGGGAGGAGCAAGATGAAGACGAGGAGGAGGACGAGCAGGAGGACCAAGAAGAAGAAGACGAAGAAGAGGTGAAGGAGGACGGCTTTCGGCCATGGGGTGCGCTTCGAAGTGCCGCGTAGGTAAGTAAGCAGGAGGAGGAGGCATAGGCGCCAAACTTCGGATAGGCCTGCCTTCTGGTTTCAGGACGAGGAGAAGGAGGCGGACGAGGAAGAGGAGGGAGGATGGAAGAGGAGAAGACAGAGGGAGAAAACAAACTATGTGCGCAAGCGTCATATCTGACGTCCTACCCCTCCCTCCCATCCCTTCCCATTGGGTAGATATCCTCTCGATTCGCACAGTCGGATGTCGAACAGGGCAATGATCCCGAGAGAGTACGCGATTACGCGATGTCACGGCATAGCATGGCATAGAAGAGCACGGCTATAACCGATGTCGTCGCGTCAAGAACGCGGTTGATTTCGACAACAAGGTCAGAGGGAAACCAGAAACGACACAGGACGGGAAATGCAAATATGCAAATGGACGTATCGGAAAGCGGGAAGCGCAAATTGAGATCAGCGTTGCAGCCAGAGCACGATTTCGAAGGACCGAAACCGCGAAAATGAGACGAGCGTTGCAGTGGGAGCACGACTTAGAAGGACTGGAAGCGCGGAACCGATGCCAACGCTGCAGCAGGAGCACGACTTGGAAGACCGAAACAATGAAATGACGTCAGTGATCGCAGCAGCGGGCACATGATTTGGAGGGACAGAACGGGAAAAGGGAACCAACGCTGTAGCGGGAGAGCCATATGAAAGGAATGAAAACGCTTCGGGCTGGAAAAGCATTAAATCTCAATGTGGCGGCATCATGTGCGGCGCAAAAGAAACAATACGCGGAGGAGGCCTGGACATTTCATTGCCGTCGTTGGGGGGGAGAGAGAAGAGTAGTATTCAGATTGTGCAAGTGTGGATGAGGGGGAGGACGAGAATGAGAAGGTGAGGGAGAGACGACGAGGAGGGTGAAGGGAGGGAGGGAGGGAGCGAACAGGAGGAGGAGGGAGAAAGAGGAGGAGGAGAAGGAGGGAAGAGGGAGGAGGGAGGAGGGAGCGTGCGGAGGAGAAGAGAAGAGGGGGGAAGGTGGGAGGAGGAGCAAGGAGGAGCGTGGAGGAGAAAGAGGAATGAGGGGGTCAAGGAGGAGTTATGAGAAGGAAGAAGGAGGAGGAAGAAGAGGAGGAGGAAGGATGGAGGGAGGGAGGGAGGGAAGGAAGGAAAGAAGGAGAAGAGGAGAAGGGGGGGGAGGAGGGGGGAGGAGGAGGAAGAGGAGGAGGAGGAGGAGGAGGAGGATATATGACAAGGCCGATCGTTAAGCGAGTTCCAATTAAGTGGTTTCACTCCTGGCGTCCGCAGGAGCTGCAGGAGATCCAGGAGGCCGCGCTCGCAGACGTCCTGGGCGACGATACCGCCTCCTCCAGCTCCGCCCCCGCTGTCCCCGCCGGGCAGGGTCCTCGCGGGGAGCGGGAGTTTGAGCTGTCTCTGGCCGAGGTGCCTTTCTCTTCCTCCGCCTCCTCTTCCTCCTCCTCCTCCTCCTCCTCTTCCTCCTCCGCCTCCTCCTCCACATCCTTCTCCTCCTCCTCCTCCTCCTTCTCCGCCTCCTCCGCCTCTTCATCACCATCACAGACAACCTCCTCAACCTCAACCTCCTCCTCCTCCTCCTCTACCTCCTCCTCCTCCTCCTCCTCCTCCTCCTCCTCCTCCTCCTCCTCCTCCTCCTCCTCCTCCTCCTTTTCCTCCTCCTCCTTCTCCTCCTCCTCCTTTTCCTCCTCCTCATCCTCACCATGTTATTCCTCCTCATCATCATCATCATCACCATCCTCCCCCACCACCTCTTCAATATCCTCCTTCTCCTCTTCCCTCCCATCCTCTTCCTCAGCACCTCCTCCTCTTTCTCTTCCTGCTCCTCTTCCTCGACCTCCTCCTCCTCCTCCTCTTTTTCGGCCGCCTCCTCCTCGACCTCGTCGTCCTCCCTCATCCTCCTCATCCTCCTTCCAGCATCATCATCAGCAGCAGCATCATCCGCATCACCATATGCATCATCACCAGAAGCATCATCGTCAGCATCAGCATCAGCATCGGCATCAGCAGCGCCAGTATCAGCGTCATCAGCGTCACCACCATCATCATCACCATCAGCAGCAGCAGCATCATCGACATCATTCATAATCACCTCGACGAGGTGCACGCCATGAGGGCCGGTGCACCTGACGGAGAACTTCGCGGGCGTCGCCACTGGGCTCTGCAGACTCTACACCGCTTGCGGCCGAAGTCGGAGCGCGCCCTGTCGACGATCCAGCTACGAGACGGCTCGATCACGACGGACGCGCAGCGGACTGCCCCCGACTTGGTCCGCCAGTGGGTCGAGCATTTCCAGGCCAAGAGTGTCAGCAGCCTGGGGAGGATCTCTCCGAGGTTCGACGGGATGCCGACTTTCGCGGAGGTGATGCCCGAGTGCGAGGTCTTTGCTACCCACGTGCGCCAGGCGCTGAAAGGCGCCAGCGCCGCAGCCCCAGGGCCAGACGGCATGCCTTACAGTTTTCGGCGCGGCATCGGCGAGGTCGGCGTCGAATTGTTCGTGGACCGTGGACACACTGCAGGCGATGATGGCAGAGGGCTTGGATGAGACTATGATGCGCGAGTACGGTTCGGGGGACAACCGGTTCGGATCTTGTGATTTCAATGGCACCTTGTTGGCGCTGCTTCCGAAGAAACCTGCCAGGCGAGACCCCGCAGCTGGCGCATTCTTCAGCGCCCTGCAGTACGCCATCGAGCCGGCGACCGAACGCCTCGAGGGCGCGAGCCAGCGGGGCTTCCTGCGCGGCCGCTCCATCTTGGCCAACGTCCTTGACCTCGAGGCGTCGATGCAGGCGGCGGCCCTCTAGGATGACATGGCGTATGCCCTCCTCTTCGACACGCGGGCGGCGCCCCCCAGCCTGGAGCACGACAACTTGCACCATGTCCTGGACAAGCTGGGGCTGCCGAGAGGCGCACTCGCTGCCATCCGCGCTCTACACAAGGCAGCGTTGTTGTCTGGCGGTGGTTGGGCAGTGGTGGGAGGGCTTCGCCATCACAGCGGGGACTCGCCGGGGGCGCCCCCTCAGCCCCCCCTCTTCGTGCTCGTCACGGGGCCGTTCAACCGCCAGCTCGACGCCATCGAAGGCCGCCGAGAGCGTTGCGCCTCGGCGGACGATCTCGAGCTGGCGTGCGCCAGCGGACCGCGGGCGCGGCCACGATTGCACCGCTCGTTCGAGCTCATTGCCGCAGCGTCGGGCTTGCACTTGAGCCTGGCGAGAAAAGGCGCTGCTGCCGTTGTGGACGTGGCAGCCCATGCCCGCAGCCGACGCTTGGCGGCAGGCCGCGCCGGTCTGGGGCGCAGTGCGGGTCGCCCACTCGGCACCTACCTGGGATTCGAAGTGAGCCCCGCGGCGGCAGACAGCGGTTAGGGCACCCCCGCGCGGAAGTTCAGGGAGGCGGTCTGCACGTGAGCGGCGCTGGCGCAGGGTACGGATTTGGCGACGTTGGCTTGCAACGTGCTTGCAGTTTCGAAGCTGCAGTACACTGCGCAGTTACAGGGGGCGCCTGCTGAATGGCCGACTCTGGAGCTGTGGGCGATCCAGGAATTCTTCCCCGGCCCGTTCAGATGGCCCCCACCTGGGGTCGCCCAGCAATTACGCGATGAATTCCAGATGCCGCATCACCCGCCGACGAATTCGGGGCCATCGCCGGCGCATCCGCGTGGACGAGATGCGGATTCGATTGCAGCGAGTCCGCTAGCATACCATTGCCACGTGGGATATCGACTGGGGATGGTAGAGCTGGTCAATTGGGGGGCCCGCTCCAAGGCAAGCCGCGGCGGAGGACCTGGGCCGCCAGGGGCCACAGAGGCGAGAGCGCTAGATCAGGGGCTGGGGCGCGGGCCGCGCCCCGTTACGCTCGAGACTTGGAGAAGGTACCAGCGGCGCATCCAAGCCTCGGCCGCGACGCCGCTGCGGCGCCGGCACTGGCGGCCCATTGGTTTTGCGGCACTGGGCGCGAAGGTCCGGAACTGACAAGACCTGGGTTCCCTGCCAGGTCGGCGAGCCCAGCGGCGCCGCCTGGTCATGCAGCGGCCCCCGAAAACAACGCCGCTTCGGGCGCGGGCCGCCGCGCTGCGCGCGCGGCTGAACGGCGCGCGCACCGGGCACCGATTCGGCGCTCGCGGAGGCCGCTCGCTGCCTTTTTCGGCTTCAGTGGGGGCGAAAACGACGTCAAGCACTACGTCTGTTGCCCGCGGCCACGGCGCTTCGGGGTGGACAGGCTTGGCCTGCGCGACCCCAGCCGCGCCGAGGCCCGCGCCATTCCGCCCTGAAACGCAACGCCCCGGACTCCGACCAGGCAGGCCAGCGCGCAGCGAAGGCGCAAAAAAAACCATCGAGCAGTTAGACGGCGTGGACGACGAGACCTACTTCGACAAGAGGCAGGACCCTCAAGAGATCTTCCTGTGGAAGGGCATGGTCGCCAACTTGGATGCCGTCTCTTTGGGGTCCTTACCTGAATTGTTGGAGGGGACACGCAGGTGGGCCGACCTGAAATCATCGGGCCACGTTGGCCCACAGGTCCTCCTTTATGAAGCGGGCCCAAGAAATGTGGACCAAGAAACCCGGGGCCGCCCACCGCCAGGTGATACCAACGGATGCCCCAGTTTGGGAAAGTAAGGACTCCTGGGGCACGGTCACTTCTGACAACCAGGCGACGCTGCAAGGTCTGGCCTCTGCATGGAGAGATTTTTGGAAGGAACCAGTCGACTAGCCCCAGGACATAGTCAACATGATGAAGAAGTGTCTTGATGAGGCGCGTGTGGCGCCTCTGCCATGCATCACCCCCCTGGATCTGGATGCGATTTTACTTGGGATACCTGCCAACAAGGCGAATGGCATCGACGCGATGAGCCCGCTGGACATCCAGCGCCAGCCTCATCAGGCTCGCCAGGCCTTCGTCGACAACCTGAACACGATCGAGTCTGCCGGCGTTTGGCACGCGGCTTTCAGCACAGTCTTGGGCGCTGCGATTCCGAAGAAAGCGGGAGGACGTCGCGCGCTTGGTCTGGTTCCGATGATTCGAAAGGTGTGCTTCAAGATGTGCTCGAAGTCTTCGGGGGAGTGGTCGGCGTCGTTTTCAGCTGTTTGGGGTACTGCGACAGCAGGATCTTCCGCCCTACGCGCCGCGCTGATTCGCGCTGCGATGGACGAGGGTGACCATGGGCTGTCCTTTGAGCACGCGACACCCTTCTTAGACCTCACTAAGTTTTACGACACGGTGAGCTTTGTGCTATTGATGCAGGCAGGACTTAACATTGGATGTCCGCCTATCCATTTCCTCGGCCTGACAAGGGGACTGATCACCGATGCGATCGAAGTTACCAGGTTGATTGTGGCCGGATCTGGACATGGAGCCCCTTTGGCGAAGGTCATGCCCCACAGGTTGCTGGATTCAGTACACCGCGCCGCGCCCCCTGCGGGACTGTGGAGCTACATCGACGATATCGCATCCCTATCTGAGGGTAATAAGCAGAAGGTCCCAATGGACTTGGAGGCTACAGCACATGCGATGCCCCCAGGGCTGGCAGAGTCGCGAATGCAGATACTTTCCAAGACGAAGCTGGTCGCCAGTTCTGATGGGGTTGGGATGGAGTTGCAGCGGAGACTGAGGCGCAAGGGCATACCTGTCGAATATGTTCGCGCTGCCGTCGGCCTCGGCTCTGATGCAGCAGCCTCTCGCGTTCGCGCTTCGGCCCGGGCGATGAAACGCCGCGCTCAGTCCCGCAGGCGACAGAGGAAAGCGCCGGAGGTTCAACGCCTGGGGCGCCTGAGATTTGCGACGAAGAAGCTTCGGAACGCGGGCGCGCATCCAGCGTCCGTCTTTGGCCACCAGGTTATTGGAACCCTTCCTACCATATCGTTGGCCACGCATGGCGATGCTGCTGCTGCAGCCGCTGATTCTAAGAGAGGCAGGTGCTTGACGACAGTGATCCAGGCGATCTGCGGCACGGTGGACCCTAGAGTGGACTTCAGACGCCAGCTGCTTCGTGAATGGGTTGCTCTGTGGCTGTCTCAGCCGCGCCTTCACCCCGGATTCAAGAGGGCGCGGCTCGCGGTGGTGGCCAAGCTGGGGAAGGGCAAAGCCACCCGATGGAAAGACGTTCGTGGGCCGACCGCCGCTTTGCAGGCGACCTTACTCCAGGCCGGGTGGAATTCTCAGCCCCCGCTGGTTTGGTCGCGCCCGCTTCCTGATGGCACGATATGTGATTGGCTGTTCCCTAGCTTTGGTGACGAGC